CTGCTTCTCCCTCTGACCCTCCCCCCTCTCATGTGCTCTCTCTTTCTCTCTCTCTCAAATAAATAAATAAAATCTTTAAAAAAAAAAAATATTCAAAGGCTGTTTAGGATTCACACTTCGTAATTGTTCCGATGTGGGAGAGGAAGGGAGTATCCTAATAAGATGCCCATTTGGGGCTTTGGCTAATCTTAGAAAACTCAATCATCCTAGGAAAACGTGTTTTCTAGACAAAAAAAAAACAACTCCTAATTTGCAAAATTTTATGTTTAGATGAAAATCTCTCTCAAATAGATTATACTTCTTAAATAGAATATGCTCATCGTTGTGCACATTTTGGTACAGAATATGCTGAAGTCGAGGCAAAGCGAAGCCCCCATTCACGAGGACGTGCCAGGTACTGCTTTACGGGGTCATCTTATTCAGCTCACTCACAGTCTGGGTCATCTCACTCTACAGTCAAGGAAGTGGATGCTGATGAGCTAAGGGGCTAAAAAAGATCGTCTTAGAAATTAAGTTATTCAGCTTATTTCTGCCATAATGTATTGGTACTTTCGCCAGAGGAAGACTACAAGAGATTTTCTGTGATATATTTAGGTCTGTTTTGCTCCTGTGTCTCGCACAGGCCACAATATTGTGCCTGATATCTTTTTCTCATCACTGTAAGGAGATTTATATCTTCAGGACTGGTTCGTCCTGCCCTTTCCTTCTACTGTCATACTCTAAAGCTGCCCTTAGACTTAAAAGGTAATTATTCCAAGTTAAAGAGGGCCATCTGTACCTAAGCAGTGATATTCTACATGAAAAGCAAGTAATATAAGACAGCTTCTTCATCACGGTCATCTCCACGAGCAGGATAGCTGCTCCTGCCCCCAGCGTTGCTGCAAATCTCCCAAAGCAGGGTAGGGAAGTGGAGAAAAAGGCTTCACTGACTATGACCGTGGGTCAATTATTCAACCTATCTAAGTTGCAGCTGGCTCACAGGTCAAATAAGGATATGAATCTAACCCACAGGCTCGTAAAGATAAAATAATATATCCACCCACCATGCTAACTGCTCAGTAAATACCACGTATTAGTAGGATCTTATTATCTCTACTGTTCCATTCCCTTTCCTTCTCACAGGTGTCTTTCATAGCTTCTCCCATTCTTATCAGCTAATCATAACACTGTAAACAATACTGGGTACTTCTCATACTCATGGCTTTTTCCCCCCCCCCACCTTTTCATACCTGGGATAAATTCCCCCATCAGTCAAATGTTCCCTAAAGTAGCAGGCACAATTCAAACTCCAAGCCTCCCTGCCATAACTAGAATACAAACAGGCAACTGCACACTGTCAATTAGCTGCTCCCGGGACAGACTACCAGCTGGAAGTCTGAGCAACATGAGCAAACAGGAATCAGTTCAAAGAATAAGAGTAGGGCCATGATTTACAAGAAAAACCTAAATGAGGCAATAATAATAAAGAACCAAAAGGAAAATGTCTATGTATTTGAAAGGAAATGACTGATCAAAGCATTTGGAATCATAACAGAAGCAAAAACACTGATTTAATTTCAACAAAACAGCTAACATAGAGCTAAGTGGCAACCTTTAGAGTTTACTGTGTATCCGAGAACATAAAACTTAATGTTTACTTCCCTCAGAATGGGATTGATGCGAACATGCCTCTCTGATAATCTCACCGGCATTAAGCTATTTATCTTTGACAAATACACTTACCAGAAGGTAGAATCAGCTCCATGGTTTCATCATCATATTCTAATGTCTTTTCTGAGGACAACTCCTCAGTCTCATCAGGGTGCCCCCCTTCCTTGTAATCTGGATAGCTACTCCTGTAATGGTGGCATTAAGAATGGCATTAATAAAAAGACCAATACCTCAAATTTAACTAAAAGACAAACTGTATTTGCAAAATGGCAAACCCACTAGCTACCTAAAAGCAGGGGATAAACAGTTGCAGGGATGGCAGGCTGAAAGGTTTAGGAGAAAAACCAACTTGGTAGCATCCTCTGTAATAAAAAGTACGCAAGTGACCTATAAACTCAAGATGGATCACAGACCTAAGTGTAAAACACGAAACTATAAGAATGCCTAGGACATAACATGAGAGAAAATCTAGATGACTTAGGGTTTGGTGAGGACTTTTTACATGCACCACCAAAGGAACAATCCATGAAAGGAATAACCGGTAAGTTGGACTTCATTAAAATGAAAAACCTTCTGCTCTGGGAAAAACAATGTCAGAGAAGTAAAACAGAAGCCATAGGCTGAGAAAAAATATTTGCAGAAGACACATCTGATAAAGGACCATTATTCAAAATACCCAAAGAACTCTTAAAACTCAACAATAAGAATACAAATCAGATTTTAAAATGGGGCAAAGACCTTATTGGGTACCTCATTAAGATATACAGATTGCAAATAAACATGTAAAAAGTTGCTTCACATCATGTCATCAGGGAAATGCAAAATCAAATGAGATAACACCACACACTTATTAAAATGGCCAAAATCCAGAACATGACAACACCAAATGAAGGTGAGAATGTGGAGCAATAAGAATTCTCATTCATTGCTGGTGGGAACACAAATATGGTGCAGCCATTTTGCAAGACAGTTGGGCATTCTTGCAAAACCAAACATACTCTTACCACAGGATACAGCAATGTTTAGTATTCATCTAAAGAAGCTGAAAACACGTCAACACAAAAACCTGCACACTGATGGTTACAGCAGCTTTATTCATAATTGCCCAAACTTGAAGCAACCAAAACATCCTTCAGTAGGTGTGACTGGATAAACTGTGGTATATCTGGACAATGGAACAGAATTCAGTACTAAAAAGAAATGAACTATCAAGCCATGAAAAGACACAGGGAAAACTTAAATGCATATTACTAAGTGAAAGAAGCCAGTCTGAAAAGACAAGGGGAGAAGAATAGGTGGACTCCACATGCTTTCAGGGCAGTGACACTACTCTGTACGATACTATGATGGTAGACACATGTCATTACGCATTTGTCCAAACTTACAAAATGCACAACACTAACAGTGAATGCTAACGTAAACCAGACACTTGGTGATGATGAGGTCTTAATGTAAGTTCATCAATTATAACAAATGTACCACTAATGAGAGATGTCCACAATGAGGGAGGGTAAGCATGTGTGGATGTGGGGGGCAGGGGTTATATGGGAAATCTCTGTAACCTTCTGCTCAAATTTGCTGTTAACATAAAATTGTGCTAAAAAAAAAAAAGACCGAGCAAATGACCTATAACTAAATTCTTTCACCTATTTTTTTCTCCCTAAAAGGGTTGCCAGCTAGGAAGAGGAGAATGTAGAGCTGGAAATGCAGCTCTCCTCAATTTAACCATTCTAAAAACAAGTTTTAGGACAGCGCCATCCAGTAGAATTCTGTGATCACAGAAACTTTCTATACCTGTGTGTCCAATATACGAGCTACTAGTCACATGTGCTTTTAAGCACTGAGCTTTGAAATCTAGGTAGTGCAACTAAAGAACTGAATTTTTAAGATTTTAAACTTCATTTCTAATTAACTTAAATAGCCGCATGAATACACAAAGTATTTGCCATATTGGACAGTGCGATTCTAGAAGAATCTCTATGTTCCTAGAAATAGTCTCAAATATACACAGAAAATAATTGGAGAATTACACATTAAAATGTTAACAGTAAGACAGATAACCCAATCCCTTGGGCGCCTGGGTGGCTCAGTCGTTAAGCGTCTGCCTTCGGCTCAGGTCATGATCCCAGGGTCCTGGGATCGAGTCCCACATTGGGCTCCCTGCTCGGCGGGGGGCCTGCTTCTCCCTCTCCCACTCCCCCTGCTTGTGTTCCTGCTCTCGCTCTCTCTCTGTCAAATAAATAAATAAAATCTTTAAAAAAAAAGACAGATAACCCAATCCCAATAAAGAAACAGACAAAAGACTTGATCAGACACTTCACAAGAGATATCCAAATGACCAATTAATATAAAAAGGTTTTCAACTACATTACTTATCATCAGGGAAATGCTAATTAAAACCACAACCCAGCCACCAAAATGGCTGAAACGAAAAACTTTTCCTCAATGCAAAAGAAGAATGAGACATCAGGAGGAAAATGCAAAAGGATGATTTAAGAGACTGGGACTTTTCTGAACACACCTATCTGGAGACTATGCATGCTTGGCATGGTAATTACACACAATTGCTTGTGCAGCACACCTGTGCTAGGTCATAGGCATCATGGCACTAGTAATTAACTGTTCAAAAGCGCCTGGCACAGATTCCTTGCATCATGGACGAATTATCCAACTTTCTAGTTAAGGGTGAACCACCCATGGGATAATGTCACCATCAAATACCTGGGACTGGCCTAGTTCAGCAACCACCTCAATTCCCTTGGGAGACAGTCTGTGATTCAAGGACTCTCAGGGAAACCAAGATATGAAATCTATTTTCAGTCCCTCTGTTCACAAGGAAACTGGCAAAACTGAGCTCCTCACCATTTAAACCACAACAAAAGAAAAATGAGTTTTCAAGTCAGACAAACTTCAGTGTGGGCCTGAGATCGTCTCTTTATCAGATCTCCTTTATTAAATGTGTGTGCTCAACTCTCACAGTTTCTCATCCACAAAATGAGAGCGAACAATCACCCAGACGGAAGTTTTACAAGAGTCCTAAAGCATATACTGTACTGTGCAGGACACATGTCGGGCACCCACACACCTAGTACCAATTCAATGCAAATATGATGGCCTCACTTTGCCTCACACTACAAACCACAGACTTGCCTAAAATCATAGAAGTCTGCGAATTCCAAAGCAGCATCGCCATCTGTGAAGAGCTTACAGTGGCTTTTGTCATTCATGTGTGCCTGTACAGCTTCCGTGGAGTAGAAGGACTTCCCTTTCTCATTGCACCACAAGCAAATCTTCCCAACACCAACTTTCTCTCCTGGAAAAATAATTTGAGGACAAAATGTAAGAGGAGCTTTCTGCAGCCAGATTAAGGCTCACAATTTATCTCCACAATTCAAAAAACATGCACCAAGTTTTTGATCTTTACAAAATAAGCACATAATTAAATCAAAGACTGACGACAAGCAAAAAAACGAATGTTCCCTTAAAATTTGTCCCCCAATAATGTGATATTTCCTCATTAAAAGGAAAACTATTGTACTTACCCAAATATTTAATCAGTCCTTTAAGATCCGAAAGATACTCTATATCAGGAATAAAGAAGCTGTGGACTTTAGTCATATGAGCCACATTCTTCATAAGAGAGCTTGAATGATGGGGACAAAATAAGCAGTCTGTTATGGGGATGGCACCAATGAGGGGGCCTCCCCCAGTCTCCTCCTCTGCATCCTGCTCCTCTGCTTCGTCCATGTCCATGGCGTCAGCATCCCCACATTCTAACTCTTCATCAGAATCAATATCTTCCCAATCTTCAAGCCAGAGATTTGAAAAACAGTTAGTTTAAGAAAGTGGTAACTGCAGTTGAAGAAACCGCAAAGATTCACAAACATGAGATGGTACAGTCTTATATCTGGGGGGAGAGAATGCCAATTACATCCAAGGACAAACCCTGTTATAAGATCTCAATTTTAGCTGGTCCATTTACACAGACAAGTTTGTATTGCTAAAAAATTCCTTAATCTTTCTTTTCCAGCGTACAGTAAACCCCTTGAGGGAGTCGTCTTTCTTTCCTAAGCCTATAATGAACACAATCAGTCTAATTGGATGTGGGATGAGGGCAGGAAGGAATAAAAAGCTCATAAAATTAAGGAGGCTTGGTGGCTGGCTCCAGCTCCACATTTCAGGTTAGTTAGCTCATTCTGAAGCCCTCATTTTGTGTTTTAATCAACTAAATTAAGTGCAAAGCCATGATAACTAGAAACCCAGTAGAATTACAAATCCTACATAAATGGGTATGGACAGTAGCATGCCCTCCTATGCGTATGTCAAATGCCTCCTCATTCAAAATAGAAGTCATCAATTCATTCTGTAACTATTAATAAGAACCTATTCCTCCCCGCCCTCGCCCCAGAATAGGCCCTGAATCTACAACAATTAACTAAGCAGAATGAACTAAAATTCCCCGTGGGGATGATGGCCAGACAGGTCACTCCAGAAAGGAACTAAAACGGCCCGCACACGTCACTTTCACTTAAAAACGAGCACCTCCTCCCCTCCAACTTCGAGTATAAATCTGGAAACTTAAGGGGAAGGCATTACCTTCTTCATCCAGGTCCTCCTCACTCTCCTCCTCCTCCTGCTGCTGCTTTGCCAACCTCTTCGCCTGCTGTTCAAACCACTGGAGCCGGGGAGGCTTCTCGGCCGGGTCCCGCTCGTGAGCCGCACGTCCTCCATCGGCCACCGCCGCGGGACTCCTGGACTCCTCCTCGGGCGCCGCGGGGGCCTTCTTGGGAGACATGGACGGCTGAGCCTTGATGGCCTGCTGGATGGCCGCGTTCATGGCATCCTTGTCCACGCTGTCCACGCCCAGCCCTTTCTCCAAGTTCTTTTCATTCATCATCTCCACTTTCCGATTCACGGCGCGCACGGCCTTCTTCTCCAGCTCCACGTGCCGCCGGGACTTGAGATGGTTTTCGTAGGCGTTGAAAGAGGCAAACTTCTTACTGCAGACGGTGCAGTAGGTGGCCGTGCCCTTGCTCTCCTGCTCCGCCACCGCCCGCTGCGCCCGCACCCGCTCCTGGAACCCCTCGGCGGTGACCGGGGCCATGTCGGCCACTTTGCGCTTCAGGTTGTAGCGGTGCCAATCCGTCTTGTAGTGGGCCCGCTGCACGTCCGCGTCGCCGAAAGCCACCCGGCAGGTAATGCAGGTGTACGTCGCCATCGCCAGGGCCGAAATAGGAGGCGGCCAGGACAAAATTCTAGCGACGAGAGTGAACGCCACCAGACGGTCAAACCTCTACTCGCCTCAGAGACCACCAAACACCCAACCCCACGCTGCCTTCCAGGCCGGATCTGTGAGAAGTTCCGGCACACTAGGGAAGTTATGCTCAGCTGGACAGGAAGTCCCGCCTCTCAATCTGTAGCTACGTCCTACGCCGCCGATCCGGGAGGGCGAGGGAAGGCCTGTAGCTAACCAGGCCCCGCCCAGTCGGCCTAAAGTGGGTGTTGATTGCGTTATTCTGAGGTGGGTGTTGATCCGAGCGGCATGAGGTGGGCGTTGATTGGGCCAGCCTGAGGTCGATGTAGAGGGTGTCGGCCTGAGGAGAGTGCTGATTGGACCAGCCTGAAATGGGTGTTGACCGGACCAGCCTGAGGTGGGTATTGATTGGACCAGCCAGAGGAGGGTGTTGACTGGGTCCGTGGCGGAAGGTGTTGATTACCCGGCGCCGCGCCCACCGGGTTACTTTCCCCCGTGCTTGTGCGGTGTGAGGTGACGCGCTGAAGGGGTTGCTGTCCCGGAGGAGGGGTCTGGTGGCCGAGCGAAGGTCGGGGCCTCTCCGAGAACCTAGCGCTGCGCTCCGGGAGCCCAGTGAACGGGTGTGGCGAAAGCCAGGCCCGCTGTTCAGACCACCCGAGTGCCCCCCGTGCCGGCGGGAGTCCCGGCAAGCCGGAGCCTCGGGCGGGAGGCTGCGGGAATTCGCAGGAAAACCGGCGAGGCCGGGCCAGAGCCTCGGCTTTTCTGGGGCAAGCCCTTCCAGCGGAGGGCGCACCGCTTGAATGAAAAGTTTGCCAGCTAGGAGCACAGCCGTGCCGCGGGCCGGAGACGTGTAATCCGAGCCACGTAGGTCCTCCTCAGTCGAATAGCAGCCCCGTTTTTAAAAATGCAAAAAGAAAGAGGTAAGACGTATGTTTTATCTAACTCAATATATACAAATATTGTCATTTGAACTTGTTATCAATCCAGAAGATGTAATGAGAAGTTTGACCCTCGCTTGTTGGTACCGGATCTTGGGACTTTGGTGTGTATCACGCAGTAACAGCACATGGCAGTTAAGGTCAGCCGCATTTCAGGTGAGCAGTTAACCGCGCGGCCTCACGGGGGACAGCGCAGGTGGAGAAGGCATGAGTGTTGAGTTGTAGGCAGCTCTTCGGCTCATCGGCACAGCCTAACCCAACCTGCCAGCCCTGGTACAGAACTGAACTTTGCACGCTCAGAATCCAAGCGGCCCGTGGCAGCCAAGAAGACAGACGTTTTTTAGTACGTAGGTCAAGCCCCTTGCTCTTGTTGTTCACAACCCTCCAGTGGCTTCCCCAGACCCAGAATAAAATTCAAACACCTTACGTCTTTTGGTCTGAATGTGT